AGAGAGAGAGAGAGAGAGAGAGAGAGAGAGAGAGAGATTCCAACAAACACGCGAGAACTTTTGTAAATGGTCCGGCTGGAAAGTAATAAGGCGGTTTAACTTTTTCCCTCTTGCACCCTGACAGGATACAAGGCGCATGATCAGGAGCCATGGAGTGAGATCCCGTCTCCTAACGGTCCAATGCCTGGCGGTTACTATTTGATGAGATAAAAAGCGCCGCGGTGGCCTCGGCTCGTGAATTTTTAAAGGGCCTCGCAGGTACCGTTACCTTCCTCGAATTTTCGAGGTTAGGGGGTGTCGATACCCTCGGGGACGCCGGCAGTCTTCTGCCTTCAATATTTTAGCATGGTAAATTATACGATTCCGTGCATACACTGATCTTCCACTTTCTCCGTCCCTCCGTCGAGTGGCGACGCCACGCCATGCGGCGAGAACGTTGATCCGCCGCGTAAATGTTTTTCTATTTGCGCTCCTGCGCCTTCCTCCCTTTGCATGCCGAGGAGAAGCAGCCGTAAATATGTATGCCGCGAACTTGTATTATTTAGGCCAAGCTAGCGCCTGCGCTTCTCGCAATTGTCGCGGAGTAAGGTGTACAAGAGCAGCGGTCCTTTCGACGCGCGAATTAAAGGAGACTAGTCCGGACGCGACAGGATGATGTTTGCGTCGAGAATCGTCGGTTGGGACATTTTTCAGAAAGTTATCGCAACTCATTTGCGTTCGCGAACTGCTCACTGCGGCATTCAGAGGAGAGAGAGAGAGAGAGAGAGAGAGAGAGAGAAAGCAATAGCTGAAAAGACGAAATCAGCAACGGCACCGACAAAGAGACCCAGGCAGAGGCGGCTACGGTGTGTCTTCGTTTCGAGGAAGCTAATCATCCGCAAGCCGTTTCTGCCAAAATACGCGCGCACACTGGCGCACGAGCGCTCGCACGTACAGACACACACACACACACACACAGAGAGAAATTTCCAACACGCGTCGCGCGACGATGATTAAACTCGGAGCGTAACGAACCGGCGTCGAGAAGAAGAAGGACGGGCGGGCGGGCGGTCGGACGAGTTCGCGTGCGATGACAACCTCTGGGCGTTCCTCTTGTGACGCCATCACCTTGCCGAGGGCTTAATCAACCCGGCACCCGAATGCCGAAAGTCTAAAGCTATCGCCCAACCAGCACCAGCCAGCGAGGCTCGCGAGTCCTTGAGCGCGGTAAATAGATGAGAGGCTTCCCCAGCTGATCCGGATGCGACGAGCATAAAGAATCGTCGCGCGGTCGAAACGCCACGCAAACCCGCCGAAAGTGTCCTTAAACTCTTCAGCCATGACTGACCCGGACGCACAATTCCATCGTCTCAGATAACAGATAATACGATGTAACGCTTGAAGGCTATATCATGGATGAAATTTCACGTGCAAATTTTTGGTCTCACTGAACAACGTAAGCGCACGAACGATATTAATTTTATACATATTTATTCATATTATGAGTAGCGACAACATTATGATAAAACAAAACAATCCTTGCATATACTTTGCTACAAACCAGTGATTTTCAACCGGTATCGGTGAGAGGATCTAAGGTGTGCCGTGAAAATTTTTAAGAATTTTAATTGTTATCTTTTTATTATAAATTATAATAAATAATATAAATTGTTTCGTTTTACTTTTTAGTCGTGATGGTGCATTTTGTTTGTGTTAATAAATAAATCGAAAAAAAGTATATTCTTTTTTACACTCTTTTTTTTTTATCATCATAATTTAAGTGTACCGTGAGTGAAAAAGGTTGAAAAACATTGCTATAAACAATAATAAGTTAGTCTCTTTGACGTTACGATGGAGGAGGGGGAAACAATAATAAGAAAAGTTAATAAGAAAAGTTGATGAAATTTGTACTTACAACAAGTCAGGGAATGTTTCGATGAGAAAAAAAAAGCAACGCGACGTGCATACTCGTCGGACTAGAAGATGGGGAAAAATCCGCGGCGACCGAGGATTCCCACTACTGGACTAGAACGGAACGTCGACGGGGGCGAGATGATGGCGGATATTTCTGTTTAATAGTCGGCGTATCATGTCGGTAATGGAAGTCGAGGCGTTTGCATGCCGGCAGGCACGCTCTGTCGCTATAAAGTTAATGGCGTCGTAGGCGGCGCGATAAAATGATGTGTCACACGGCTTGACGACAATATTATTGCCAACAGCTGCACCAACGCGTATATCCTTCGGGATCCGGCTTCTCCGTTTTAAAGCGTTCCGAATAGGAACACGCGTGTACTGCGGATGCGACCACTACGAGTTGTGTCTTACTCCTTTCCGGCGCGAAACTCTCGCGCGATTTTCTCCTGTCGCCTGCAAACTCCCGGCGAGAGTCGTAACCACCTGGACTTGATGAATCACGAGATCCCCTCGAGACATTTAGCAGTTTAATTCCTGCGGCAATTGTTTTCTGAAGTCTTTAAACAAGCACCGCTCGAATTTCGAAGAAATGTGGTTCTTTTGTTTATTCTTTCTACCTTCATATTTTGCATCTTTCTCCCTGTTAGAGGATTCTTTCTCTTAGAGGATTCAGAGCGTCGACAATGCTCCGTCACATCTCTTTCTTTTGCCCCAGCTGAATGCGGGTCGGCCGAAATGTCAAATGAAGCCCGACGATTCATCGGAACGACGCGACGGCTCGGTCGCGCGGCGTTCGCGCAAAGGTCGCCACCGGCGACACGTATCGGCGAACGGCAGGTGATAATGCCGTCGCCATTAGTCGTATTTTAATGAAAAGCCGACGCGCGTAACCAACCCGGCCGAAATTGTAATCCCTTATGACCTGTGCGGTCGGCTTTGAAAACGACGTTACACTAATGCCCGTATATACGCGCGCAGCCTATTATCGTCCTCCAGTCGAGGAGAAGCTCCTTCTCTCCCCCCCCCCCTCCCTCGCTCTCTCATCTTCATCATCCGCCCGCCGCGAGTTTCTCCATCCACTTCCCGACCGCCTTTCGCTATTTCTCGTCGTCTTCGCGCCTCTCCCGACCCGCAGCGCGCCGGGGAGTTCACGGCTGGATTGTAATGATTAGTATAACGAGGAGATTCGAGCGCGAGCGAGCGCGCTAGGTCTTACGGGTAAGCGCGGATACCGGGAATTACTCCGCTTTTAATTACCGCCGAGCCGAGCCGAGCCGAGCCGAGCCGAGCCGGCTGTGTACACCGACGCCTTAATGCACCGCGCGGTGCTTAACGAGTAATACGTCGTTATCAACGGCCCGGTGGGCGGGCGGGTCCGGGTCGTTAAATGATTTTAACGGCGCGCCCAAGGTGGAACTCGCGCGAGAATAGGCGGATGGTAATCGGCGAGGAACGATAGTCGAGCGGAGGAATATCGACGAAGGGTTGAAGGGTTCGGAAGGGTCGCCGAGAAGAGAGCATGGCCGCGCGGGCGCACAATCCGGTGATGGCTGATCAGCGCGCGCCGTGTTGCCTCTCGTGTGTACAGTAGCGCTCTCGCACTAGTCGTCGGCAACTCCGGAGAGTCGAAGTTGCCGCAGCCGCTACTTCGCGAGATGATCGCGCGCGCTCGCGAACTAGTAGACGGATGCGTGGGTGTGGGCGGATACATGCTGTTTGTAAGTGGATTATGTTTATAATGGGGTGCTCTCCAAGTCCGTTCTGAATATTGCGACCGTGTCTATGCCGTGCGGCCAAGTAAATCATGTTCGTATCCACTTGAACCGCGTCGGCTGGATCCCCGCCAATGTACATTCTATCCGACAAATTGTGCGCGGGATGTGACTTTCGCTGGAGTTGAGCGACTCGTCGACGTAGGGAGGAACAATATCGTATATTTATCTGCTCCGCAATGCGGGGATTTCAACGCGGCTGCGTTCAACGGTCGCCTGGGCCGCGCCAGGCCGAGTTCATTCACGTTCTGAGACGCGCGACCGCGAAGAAAAACGGAGCGAGCGGCCGAGCGCGATCGATGCGCGTTCCGTTCGGTCGAATCGGCCGCGGCGGGGAGAGCGAGGGAGGCTCGCGCGGATCACGCGGATGCAATCCGCGCGCTGCGGAAACCGCCGTGATTTAGCGTTTTCCCTTTCATCTGTTCTCGAGCTACGAGCTTCCGCTGCCATAGCTCGCTCGTCGCCCGTTGCGATTCTTTCGCTAATTTATTGCTCGTAGATCAACGTCGGCGTGCGCTGTTTCGGCGCGCTCACCCTTACGTTCGGCCGGGACAATGTCGAGGATCGACGCCGTTTCTGGCCGTGACACTCCCGGGGAGAGCGGCACGCGACGTCCGCAGGAGATCGATCGTTAGGTCCGACGCGTTTCGGACGATTGACCGTGCAAACGAACCACTTCCTGCCGCCGCGATCGTATCTGCCGGCGCGCGCACGAGAATGCACCCACCGGCGAGAATGGGAGAGAGCGAGGGCCAGGGGGAGGTGGAACGCATGGAGACTCGCGAAACTAATTTGGCCCGAATAGCTTCGCGCGAGGAATCAAGCGATATACATCGGCTGGCTGTCGTTGACGAGCGTCAAACGAGAGCGCCGCAGGGGCGCGTTTAAAGGAGGAAAAAGCGGTAGCACTCCCGTTATTTTTACCGGCGCGGAAGTCTCGCTTGCCACCCTTCGACCCTGAATATTGACCTTATTCCCCGGCATCTGCTTGTAGCAGCAGCAGCTCTCCGGCTGCGTCACGAGGAACCACGGCAGTCGCGCGACACACCGAGCTTGCAAAATGTGAAGTGCGCACTCGTGGCACCTCTCGTAAGGTCGAGCGTGTCGAGCGGCCGTTCGTAAGAAAGGGGCCGCTTGCCAAGAGGGACAATCGTGCGGATTTTCCGCGAAAGACTCGTAATTATGGCGTCACGCTCGGAATAGAATTTCCCCGGCCGTCGACAGCGGCGATGGCGACACGTCCAGTGTTTTGATGTTGTCAATAATTTTATCGCATCTTGCGAATAATGATCGCACCATCAATAATCCGAATTTTTATGTATTTTCTTGTTTCAGAGAGACGCCTTAAATTTGGAACCAAGCAATGTTGCGAATTGCGTGTCGAGAGGCAAATCGGAGGTAAGACTTTCTGTCGCGCGGTTTCATTCGCGCGCTCGCGCGCCCCCCCCCCCACTTTTCCTCCCGTTCCATTACGCCCCCGCGCCAGCGCCTTTGAAAAGAATTTTAATTCCGCTACTAGCGAACCGACTCGCGAGCGCGTCTCCGAACCAAAGCACCGAGGAATTGTGATTGCGGAGAAAGAGACGTCGAACACACGTAGCGCCGAGCAGTAGAAAAGGAGTCACAAACAGCGGACGTGCTAAAATAAAAGAACTATTTTCTTTGTGATTACGCGCAAAAGGCGAAACGGAAGATGCGAACTCGCTCTTTAATAAACATCGCGGTGTCGCTCGAATTCGCGTGTACCTCGTTTGTATCCCTAGCGCGAACGACACACCCAAAGGTCTTCCTCTCTTCGAGTAATCCGAGAACGGTCAGCTTCTCGTCGCGCTCCAATTTCGCGATCGGCATGCATTGGAAATGCCGCTTAATGCATCGCGGAGACTGGACATTGTGTTGCTAAGTCGTTTACCCGGTAAGGTAAACGTCCCAATAGCCGGACACGTTCCAATATCCGATCACTTTGAAAAGAAGTATTTACTATTTATTTTAACAATAATGAATGAGAGTAATAATTACTGTAAAAGGAAATTCCAATATTTGACGATTAGTTGAAAGAAAAATATACCCAATTTGATACTTTTGTATTAAAATAAAAATCAATTAAATAAATATGCACCTATGGTTTGGCAAAATAATGGTCAATCATTAATAAATTCATCGAGAGATAGCATTTGTATTTATATTATTTCTCGCTAGCGCATACTAATTTTCTAATTGCGGTCAGACACTGGGACAAATTATGTCGAACATTAGATCATGACTTATTTCGACTGTCCGATCACATTATCGCGCTTCATTACTTGTGTAAATATTTCATTAATAATAGATACATGCATTGGTTTAAATCATTTGTCTCTATCTAAGGGAATCTTAAGTTTTTGGAATAAATGTAAACATTTGTATCAAAACTGTTCTTAATATTATATATTGTATTTTTTTGTGACGACCTACGTTCAAAACGTCCGATTAATGGGACATTTACCTTACCTCAGCTATGTTTTGCCTTGAATATTTTCAAATGACTTGTGGCAAATGTCATCATGTCAGTAGTTTGTTAAAAATCATCGTCGCATGGAACATTCACTTTCAACTTGAAAAGTGTCTCGTCGTCCATCCGTGATGCATCAAGATCCAGCATCTTCGTCGAAAAAAGCGAATCCCTCGCAGCGGTGCTGCGATGCTGTTGAATATCTCTGTCGAAAATTAGGATTAACCGAGGCGCGCTTAACACTCCGCTCGCGTTCATTTTTATTCATACTCGGGAGTCGCGCCGATAAAACGCGCTCGCGCTTATCACGGCTTCATTCGTATGCACCGTGTACGCGTCGTCGTCGAGGTGTAAGGTCCACGCAAATATTCCCTACGTGACGACAAAGCCAATTCATTTCCCGCGCACCGATTCGCCGCAAGATAAGCGCGCGCGCGCGCAACGTGATCGACCGCGCGCCGACACGCTCTTTTGCTTTTCCCGCTTTTTCCGAAAAGTCCGAACAAAGTGCGACAAGTGCATTTTTAACTATCGTCGTTGACTAGCTGTCGTCGTCGTCGTCGTCGCCTGCGACTGTTCTCTCCATCTCGTCGTCCGCCACTGCACATCCTATCGGCGAATTTAATTTTCTCCCTCTCCTCTGCTTTCTTCCAGCACTTCGACTGCCGAAACCACATAAGAGTGATACAGCCGATGGGAGACGGCAATCGGCTTTACATGTGCGGAACGAACGCGCACTCGCCCAAGGACTGGGTGATTTACGTAAGTTGTCCGCCAGTTGAGAAATTTCATCTCGACGCATGTTTTGCGAAGATTTTGAATTGTTACTCTGCGGATATTTTTTAAATCGCGCAAATGCCATTGGATTGTATCTGCCGCGCGTCAGTTCCTTTGTTCCAATGCGACAGATTTATTTATCGTCGGTTTTATTTCGTCGGTTATCTGAGCGCGAAACTGATATCTCTCATATTATTTGATTCTCTTATACTTTATAAATGACAACGTATATTACTAAATAAACTTGTTAAACTTTGTTTTGTAACGTAGCACGCGACAGTTCGCGATTGGCTTGCGAAATTATTAAAAATAACGATCGGCTCTCGCGGGACGACTGAAAAAAGAAAATGTCCGTGTTTATAAACGACCGCTGACGTTTGTTTATTGAAAATGTAAAACGATATATCGAATGCGTCCGCAACTTCCCTTGAAATGTATTACGGATTCAGCGCGATACGCACAAGGCATGCCGATTTGTGCTGCTTTACGCTTAATTTAATTAATTAATAGCGGAGCGCGCGAGGAGGCATCTGAAAATAATATCGTTAATTAATTTTCACGTTGCGAATAAATTTCGCCGCCACTCACGCATTCCTACGATACGTTCCAATTTAATTCCCGTCGAAATATTTAAAGCCGTAATGAATAATGCTGTTATTAGTGGAAATTTACATGTGTTATCGCGCGGTTGTGAAATCCGCGCGCGCGCGCGCGATGCGATTCGCAAAAGTGCGCGCGGATCGCGTCGAAACACGCCGGCTCTCGGAGATCTTGCGCTTAAGTGTCCGTGTAACGACACACAAAGATATACAGACGTGTATACCTATCGCGTATACACAAGTCGCGCTTTGCCGAACATTACGAGCCCCGAGTGTGCCGTAACCTCTCACGTAATAATAATAACGTCCGGCCGCTTACCTAAGCTGTTGCTGCTGGGATTATTGTACAGTTATCGAATAAAGTTAGATTACCGGAAGGTATTTGGCATCGGGATGGGAATGTTGCGAATCGCGACCAGTAAATCCAGTAAAGCTGACTGTACACATCGGTAGCGGCAGGTATCATAAACTTAATTACACAACTCGTCCCGAGATTATCGCCGTTTCTTTCACCCGCGGATTCTTTTGACCGACTTAAGCAGAGGCGGCTTGTTTCTTTGGAAAAAAAAGAAAAAAAAAGAGAGAGAGAAGATTTAATTAAACGCCGTCTCGTTTCATAACTTTATTGGCAGTCGAATGAAGCAGTCTGGTAATTCAGGCTTAAAGAAACCTCTCTCTCTCTCTCTCTCGCTCGCGCGCGCGCTCCGTAGGCCATCCCTCTTTTTTAATTTATAGCGGATCTTATTGTTAGCGCGCTCAGCTACCGTCCGTCTGACCTCGTCGCCGTTGAATGATGTTTTTCCAGAGCAATCTGACTCACTTACCGCGCCACGAGTTTGTCCCGGGGGTGGGAATGGGCATCGCGAAGTGCCCTTACGACCCTGCGGACAATTCAACGGCGGTCTGGGTCGAAAAGGGCAATCCCGGGGACCTGCCGGCTCTTTATTCCGGCACGAACGCCGAATTCACCAAAGCCGATACCGTAATCTTTCGCACGGATCTCTACAATTTGACTACCGGCCGCAAAGCGTTCAGCTTCAAGAGGACGCTGAAGTACGACTCCAAGTGGCTCGACAGTGAGTAGTACTATTTTTAAAGAAACGTTATTGCCGCCGAAGACACCTAATAGACTAAGCGGAGTATTCCCGTCGAATCGATATCGAGTCGGACGGTATATAACAACTTGCTAATACTTGGACGTGCCCGCGAACTTTACTAGTTATTTCTTCCGATAGGCTAAATTATTTTCCGTAATCGCGTCTCCCCCTCTTATCGCGATCGATCGTCACGTTCATCAGCACCCGATCGCTACCTCCCTCCATCCCTCTCTCTCTCTCTCTCTCTCTCTCTCTCTCCCTCTCCCTCTCTCTTTCTCTCCTACTACGACTAAATATACTTAAACCTTCGGCGCTTCATAGAGAAACCTTCACCCGAGAAACCTGATAATTACGGCGTGTCGGGGCAACAATGAAATTTCCATTAGGCTCAGGGGGCGTAGCACTAACGGGACCGTGGGGGTCGGCCGGATCGGCTAAAAAGCGAGGCGAGTCTCCTCCGAAGAAACCGCTCGGGGAAGGGTGCTGCTTAGGAAATAGACGGAGAGTGCTTTGAAGTAGGACCCCGGCCGGGAACACGCGGGACGGGCTCAAATGGATGCGAATAAACTGCCCCGCCTATTTTCCGAGGGCACCGTTTGCCTTCCGCGCCCCGAGGACTCGCGTCCGGGCAAACGGGGCAACGGAGGCGGCGGGAGTACGGGGCCACGAGTGGAATTATAGGAGTTTGGAGGGTGATGTCGGCACTAGGTACGCGCGCGCTATCGTGCCCGGTTAGAGAGGGTGCCGGATCTCTCCACGAGCGGGGTAATAAAATAACACCTCGACGCGATCTTTCCCGTCCTAAACGCTCTCCGAGTGCCCTCCCCTTTTCCTCAGCAAGGAGGAGAGCGAGCCGATCGAAGAGAAGTTAAAGTTTTCCCGCCGTCCGCCGGAAACGCACCCTCTCCCGCCCCCCTGCCCCGCCCCCCTGCTCCCCACCTACACCCTCACTGCCATCGTCAGCCCCTTCTGCTCCTCTCGGTGCCGCGTACTTCGTAGGCCGAGCTTTAATCAGTTTTACTGACTCTGATTCGTCGGCCGGGATTATTGCGAGTCTCTCCCCCGTCCCCTCTCCCCCCCCTCCCCGCTCTCTCTCTCTCTCTCTCTCTCTCTCTCTCTCTCTCTCTCTCTCTCTCTCGATTTTTCGTTATCGGGACCGTGAACGTGAGGGGCGCGGCAAGAACGGCCCGGCAAGGAAATTGGAAAATGTAGATTAGGACGTGCGTCGAATATAGACGCACAATCCGACATGGAATTTAATAGCGGAACTCGCGGCAAGTGGGGCAGGGGGCAGTGCGCGCTGATTTGCGATGATCAAGTGTAAATAGAATCCGATTCGTTAGGTTCGTCGGGGCGGCGTGACGCGAGCAATACGTCGAAAATTTGGTTACCGACCGGCGTTTAATATCGAAATTCCGCGCCCTGGTCGAAGCCCTACGACCGACTCGACGCTCGAAAATAATCGCCGAAAGAGTTCCGTTCCGTGCAAATAACGCTCGATATTTCGCGCCGGGCGTGATTGGCGCGCGCGCGCGCGCACGCGCGCGGGGGCGCGGAGGCGCGACGGCCCCCGACGAGTCGAAATTTCCGTCGACGAGAAATTTTTTGTTCGTTAATTAACCGAAATTGCTCGCTTCTTCCGACCGGACGGAAAAAAGTAGGTTGCCCGGATAAGGGTTAATTTTAACTCCGCCCTCGCGCCGCAATCCTTCCGTCGGCGAACGCTTGCTTACTCGCGCGCGCGCGCGCGCGACACGCCGGCGTGGAATAATGGCGCGAGACGGTTAGGTGGCTGCTTTGTATTTCTCGAGGGGGCTGCTTCCGCTTTTCCTCACTCCGGCGAAGCGTGCCGCCACTCGAGCCCCCCTCCCCCTCCCCCCGACTCCTCCAGCCAGCTCGCGTCGTCGTGGTAGGGTCGCGACCGGAGGTGCGGCAGAAGCCGGAGAGGGCGGCTGGACGACTTTGTCCCACTTTGTATCCTTCGCTCCCTCCCGCGGGACGCATGATTAGCCATTTGTTTCGTCGTTTAATTTCGAGCCAGCCCTTTCGCTACTCCCGCGTCTCCGCCGACGTCGCCGGCCCCCGTCACCGCCGACTTCGTTCAGACTCCGAGCGAGACTGCGAGAGCGTCGCGTCACCATCAAGGGCCATTCTCCGCATCGAGTTTGTCTATTAACAGAGGCGTTGATTAAATGCAGGCGAGAGTCCTGGAGGAGACGGATGGCCTCACGCGCGCGCTCTCTCTCCCCCGTAGTCTTGGCGGCTCTTCCTCCCGCTCTCCTTCTCTCTCATTCCCTTCTACTCCACCTTCTCCCTTTCTATCTCGGTCTCTCTTTCTCCGGCGTGCTCGTCGACAAAGTGAGCGCAATGAAGACTGATGCGGTTCGTGGAGTGAGGCTGTGATAACCGGGTGTGCTCGTGCTCGCGCGGATGAGCCGCGCGCGCGCGCGCGCGCGAAAAGGAAGACGAAGGAAGAAAAATCGAGAGTAGAACGCGGCGAGACTTAACGAGCTCTGAATAACTAGCTGACGAACGTCTACTTTCGCGGATCCCGGCGGATCTCCGAGAGACCGTGACGCGATCGTGCGTCGGCCGCGCACGAGAAATGTCGCCGCTCTTTGGCGAGGAACCCGTTGTGCCGCGCGCTCTTCACACCTGAGGACGACGCGAGAGGCGACGGCAGCAGCGAGCATCTCGCGGCTCTCGTCGCATGTCGTCAGCTCCGACGTCAGCTCGTCGCCGGCGTGCGCGATCAAGAGTCATCTTTCGTTCGACGTGACGGCTCCCCGCGTCTCTTTCGCCGCTCTCTCCGTCGTCGCGACCGCGCCGAGCACCCTCTCTCAGCATGCCTCTGTCTCTGTCTCGCCCGGCGCGCGGAGGACTCTGTACCACCTCAATATATCAAACTTCCGTCGTCGAAGCGTCAGACAATCGATTTAATCGTTGAACCGTGAGAGAGATTGCGGCGGCCTCGAGTCGAGCTCTCCGCCGCATAATGTAAAATCGGCTGCGCGCGACTCGATGCGAATCCGGCGCGCGACGACGGCGACGGCGACGGCGACGGCTCGATGCGATTCGAACGCGGAAAAATTCGATTTCCTTCGCCATTCTCTCGCGTCACCGAGCTCCGACTCCGTCGTTGCGCGAGATAAACCAGTTTCCTCGGCGCAACAAGCAATTACTGCGAGATTAAAGGACGATTCCGCGCGCGTTCGCGTGAGCGAGAGAGAGAGAGAGAGAGAGAGAGAGAGAGAGAGAGCGCTGCGTCGCGCCGAGAGAGATTGCACTCCGCGATTTTTCGCGCCGCGAAAATCCCTGATTTTCCGGGCTTCGCTCGCGGTGCGAATGAACGCGGCTAATGATCGCGTGATTCGTTCCGGAGTTTTCGAGCGAGAGACGGGAACAACCAGCGCCAATCGTCCGCGTTCTCCGACGATCTCGTCGAGTGAGCCGTTACGGGATTTTACGATGCCGAATCGTAAAGCGACACGTCGCTGCTCATTAAAGTCTCCTTAAGTCCCGCGCAGCTACGACAGTGTTAAATAAAAGCTGCTTCAGTCGCTCGCTCTCGCTGGCATTGCCGTTGTGACGGCCGTAGGAAGGAGCTCGGGGGTGGGAAAAACTTTAACGCCGTTATCCCCACGGAACGTACGTTTGAGAAATCTGCCGCGTTCCGCTTCGCGCGTTGAGCTCCGAGCTCAGTCGCGTCGAGCGTGTCAAACGTTCCTTCTCTCGCCGCTCGATCTCACCGTTCGCCGTTCGCAATCGCGCCGGAAGAACGATACCGTGTCCCACAAGTCGGAATCCGGGACAGGTCCCCGAAGATGCGCGTGCAAAGTTTATCGGCAATTTTTCGCGGATACACCGGGCGCGTAAACAACGTGAACAACTCGCGCCGGGTCGCGGATACTCGCGCGATTCGTAAATAACTTGCGGTACGTCGTGCGTCTCGTGTCTCCTCCACGCTACCACCCTCCATTAACCGAGATTCAGCGCGCGCGAACGGCGAAATAAATTCAACTTAATCCGCGCTAAATTATATTTCCGAAGTTGGACGGCGGGAGGTGGCGCGGCGATAACCGCGCGATACGCTGCCGAGTCGCGCGCGACGAACGTCTCTCTCCATCGTCCCTGCGCCGGAAGTGAAGCTGCTGAGAGCCACACCGCCAAGTTGTTTCGAACTTTTTTCCTCTCGCGCGCGACCTATCTCTCATTCGAAAATGATACCGAACTTGTAACTCAACTACGCGAGTGCGCGATGATAAAGCCGACTCGATGGCGCTCGCTCGCTCGCTCGCTCGTTCTCCCTCTCCCTCCCTCTCCCGCTTAGTTTTTCCAACTCACCCAACGGGACTTTGGGTAAATTGCGACGCGAGTTCGGTTATTTATGCGTCCGGTGAGACGATGAGACTTTAAGACTCGTCCCTCTCGGACGAAAGTTTGCGAGTGACAAGTTGGTGAAATTATTTTTTCATTGAAATTTTTTCATGAATTCGGCTCCCCTTCGAGTTGCTCCTACGAGAGAGAGAGAGAGGGGGGGAGGAAGAGAGAAGAGTGAGAGGAGGGAGGGAGGGAGGGAGGGGATGAATGAAAGGAAAAAAGAGAGAAAGAGAGAGACGCAATTAAAGCGCGTTGTTTCCAATTTCATTCCCCTACGTATCCTCTCCTTTTTGCTCTCCCTATTTCCCTCTGAAATGGGTGCAAAATAATACCGTTGCGGCGCTGCGAATCGCCCGCGGTTGAACACGGAGTTCGGTGAGATTATTGTCCGCATCTGAGCGGAACTCAAACGGTCCCTGCGATGAAAGTTTTTACACACGGAATGAACAAACGCAGCACCGCAACATCGCGCAACGTTCGCGGCGAGCGGCCCGATTCGCGATTATTGCGAACTATCCGCTCTAGGTATTATTATATTTTGCCGTAGTATGAGATAGACGCTAACGGCTAGATTACGCGAGCTCATAAGCTCGCACACAACGCGCGGGATATCCCGGGGTGTGTTGCGCGGCATTTTGCGCGACCGCGGAAAGTGTGCCTTCCTGGTCGTCCTGAGAGGCACGCGCGAATTGAAACGAGCGTGCCGGAGTTCTCGGCGAAGATCGAAACCCGGCACGAGCGTAAACCCGGCGTCCGCCCGTTCTTGCCTTCCAGAGCCGAATTTCGTGGGGTCGTACGACATCGACAACCACGTGTTCTTCTTTTTCCGCGAGACCGCGGTCGAATACATCAACTGCGGCAAGAGTGTGTACTCCCGCGTGGCCCGAGTCTGCAAGAGGGACACCGGCGGCAAAAACATACTCGCGCAAAATTGGTCCACGTACCTCAAGGCCAGGCTGAACTGTTCGATACCCGGCGAGTTTCCATTTTATTTCAACGAGATACGTGAGTATATGGAACACACAAACGCACACACACACACGCGCGCGCGCGCGCGCGACACGAAACAGCCGCGTGTGACATTTCTCGTTATGTAGCGTAATTTGAAAAATTTACTCGCTCGCTCACCTTCAGAATCGGTGATTTTTGTTTTTCACGACCGCTTTCTGTCTCAATTTGCATCAATATCTAGACACGGCGTGCGTGCGTGCGTGCGTGCGTGCGTGCGTGCGTGCGCACACGTGCATGACATATTCGTTTTCGAAATGAAACAACAGAAAAAAAGCGCTTTTATATCAACATCACAGCGCGACATTTACGTGACGGCGTAATTTACGTTATTGCACTTCTCTGTCCCACCGTTCCAGAGAGCATTTACAAGGTGCCGGGCGATGACACGCGCTTCTACGGCACCTTCACCACCTCGACGAATGGCTTAATGGGCTCCGCGATATGTTCCTTCCACATTGACGCCATCCAAGAGGCTTTCCGCGGCAAGTTCAAAGAGCAAGCGACCAGCAGTAGCGCGTGGCTGCCGGTCTTGTCCAACAAGGTTCCGGAACCGCGTCCGGGCCAATGTGTCAACGATACAGAGACGCTGCCGGACACCGTTCTGAATTTCATCAGGTCCCACCCGCTGATGGATTCGGCGATCTCGCACGAGAACGAGAAGCCGGTATTCTACAAGCGGGACGTCATGCTCACGCGACTGGTCGTCGATAAGCTGCGCATCGATTTCGTGGGCAACGATCTGGATTACACGGTCTACTACGCCGGGTCGAGTAAGTATCCGTCCGAAGCCGTCTGATCGCGCCCCGGACCCTATCTTTGGATTTCTTTCAACCGCTCTCCCAATAACCGCGCTCGCAACAGGGAAAGCTACTTTGCGACTTTGTCGTCGCAAACTTGCGGATCTGTCTCTTAATCCAAGAGCCATACCACCACCGGCCGGAATTCACGAATTTGACTTTGCACTCGCTCGAGCAGCTTTCCCTGCCGAACGCCGACCGATAATGCGAATGTGTTAAAGGCGCGTGTCCCTTTCTTCCCTGTTTCCAGGCGACGGCCGCGTCCACAAGGTCGTGCAGTGGGTCGACAGCAACGGCGAATCCCAGTCGATTTTGCTGGATGTCTTCGATGTCACGCCCGGCGAGCCGATACAGGCGATGGAAATCTCAAAGGAGCATAAGGCTCTCTACGTGGCGTCGGATCATCGCATCAAGCAAATCGATCTGGTAATGTGCACTCGACGATACGACAACTGCCTGCGATGCGTCCACGACCCGTACTGCGGATGGGATAAGGATACGAATACGTGCAAGCCCTACCAACCGGGGTAAGTGGCCGTTGGTTGTATCCTTGCGCGAGGAATCCTTGTGAATATCACATCGTGGCGCGCGCGATTTGTCCATCTTGACCATCTTCCGCCGCGCTCCGGCGATTTAATTACGAATTACGGATTAGAAATTCGGCTCGTGCCGGATTCGCGTGCCTCGTCTTGTACCTCGCGGCCAGCGCAGATTCATTTTCGCCGCTGGGAAAAACGAGGTATTTTTGTAAATTCAACGGCGGAAAAGGTAGGGAGATTGGAAATTGGCGCATCAAAATTCAATCCCGGCAAAATATTTTAAAATAAAATCACGAGGATTCCCTCTCTCTCTCTCTCTCTCTCTCTCTCTCTCTCTCTCTCTCTCTCTCTCTCTCTCTCTCTCTCTCTCTCTCTCTCTCTCTCTCTCTCTCTCTCTCTCTCTCTCTCTCTCTCTCTCTCTCTCTCTCTCTCTCTCTCTCTCTCTCTCGCGGTTGCGAGCGATGGAGCGGTCGCACATGGCGTAACGATCGAATGTGCTTCTTCTTTTGCCCCTCGCCGCGCGCGCAGACTTCTTCAGGACGTGTCGAACAGCACGGCAGACGTTTGCGACAGCAGCGTCGGCAAGCGGAAACTCGTCGTCACGTGGGGCCAGTCCGTGCATCTGGGCTGCTTCGTGAAGATGCCGGAGGTGTTGGCGAACCAGGAGGTGCGGTGGTACCATTACAGCAAGGAGAAAGGGCGCTATCAGATCGCGTACAAGTACGGCGCCGGCGGGGACAAATTCATCGAGACCTCGGAGAAGGGTCTGGTGATTGTCGGCGTGAACGAGCAGGACGCCGGCAGATACGACTGCTGGCTCGGCGGCGCTCTTCTGTGCTCGTACAACATCACCGTGGACGCGCACAGATGTTCAGCGCCCGCCAAGTCCAACGACTACCAGAAGATTTATTCGGACTGGTGTCACGAGTTCGAGAAATACAAGTCGGCGATGAAGAACTGGGAGAGGAAGCAAGCGGTAAGTCGATTTATCGCGCGCGCCGCGCCTTCTTCTATAGCGCGCGCTCGCCCCTTTATTTATAGCCGGTCGCCGCTGCGATATTAGCCGAGGAGTGTTGTCGCCTGCTTGTCTCGTCTCTAACCGCGAATGAAATAATGTCCTCGTCCTCGTCGCCGTCGTTGTCGTATGCGACGCGTATCTCGTCTATTTATACGTCGTCTCGTCTGTCGCGCGCGCGCGCGCGCGCGACATATGTCATGAAGCGTCGTCGAATCATTCAACATTTGCATTGCAAAACGACGATATAATTCAACGCGAACCTCTCTACGCAATATTTATTTATCTATATGCACACATCGCGATATACGGAAGCGGAAATTAAATATTTATCGCGGAATTGCGCGACACGGGCTAGAGAGTTTATTGCGGGGTGGCGGCTGGCCGATACCTACAGGCGTGTGGCCGTAAATCGATAATGCGCATCGATAAATACGATCGCGCGATTCGATAGCGGCAAATGAGAATTACTCCGTGATCGTTCTCCGAGCTCCTTTATACATTATGCAACGTCAACTCCTGCGCGGATCGGAATCAATGAAATTTGCGCGCGATAAAATTATTATCGTGCCCCGCTGTCGCCGCAACGTTCTATAAATATTATCGTGTACGCGGGAGGTGGTCGTCGTCCTGCCTGATCACTCGTCGAGCGAACGTCGCAACAGCCAATTGTGCGGTTCCTGATCGTCTCCGCCGCGGTCAGAAGTAGCGTGCGACGCGCGGAATCTCGACTGTAGGCCGCCTGTAGGCCGAAATCGGTTTCGGAAACTTTGGCTTTGGTTATAAGGTTGCTAGGTTTCCAAGTTAGATACGTAATCGGTCAGCTCATCGGGATTGGACATTCACACATGCACTATTTCTGTTTGCAAACTTGGTTTTAGTTGATAATTTCGTAATATCAGATAGGAAAATGGATAGACTTTTCGTTACTTATTACGTTGATAATTGATCAGCCAGATCAGTTGCGGAACGTGTCTGTTAGATTGGTGCAAAAGTAATTGCGGTTTTTACATATCGAGTATAAAGACGCATACATCGGTTAAAAATTATATTTGTTGATCAAAATAAAGACCAGGCCTGCGCACATTTCTCCCACAACGGGAAACAAGTTTGTTTGTTCCTGCAAGATAGAATTCTAGAAAAGATAACGGCGCCAAACTTGAGATGATGAAAACCGCAATTATTTTTGCACCAACCTAATAAATTAGTTTAAGACCTAGCAGCCTTGTGACCAAGACTAGAAGAAAAAGTTTTTGAATCCAATTTCGGAATAGCCGCTTTACGAGCGGCTGCTGTCGCAAATCGGTTCCGCAGCCGCAGTCGCGTAGCCGTGACCGATAACGCGTTGTGTTCCGAGGACATGCAGTGGAACTGCGTCTCTGTTGCGTTCGGTGCTGCGTCCTCCCTTCACAGCCGCGATGTTTCGCGCTTTCTGTTGCAGCAATGCGCCTCTAGGCAGAACGACAGCAATCAGAATCTACATACGAACGAGGTGTACGGCACGCCCCTCGTCTGATGGAGCCGATCGTTGGGTCCCCCGTCGAGCCGAGATTACGACACGATGATACGCATAATCGTCCCGCCGAGGAACCGCGGCTGGACCACGACCGGCCGGATGAGCCTGGCCTTCCTATTGACCAGTCACGTCACCGCGCTCGGCGCGTTCATCACCCGAGGACTCTCGCGCGACTAAGAGCGTCCCGCGCGCGAGCGGACGTCGCTGGTGCGAACGTACGTGAGTGTTGTAAAAAGAGAACAAGAACAAGGACGTACGCGTGAGGTATCGATCGTGCATACTGTTAGTGCCACTCAGTGCTCCGCGAGACATCGTCTCTCGTCTCGCGCCACCGATCGCGAGTGACCGTCGCGCGAGACCGGCCGATCTCGGCTGGCGCACGCGCGCGCGTGCCTGCGCGACCGATGAGACCTGCGCGGGGTTATTCCACTTTCGTTCTCATCCTCGTGCCCACACTTTTCCGTTCGTGTATATTTTCGTACTCGCTTCGCTGTAAATAGAGACGTGTGTTGCGTAGCGTACGAGCTGCGCCGGGAGGTGCGCCGGACTCTTCCGCACCCCGCGAGTGTGTTTCCTCAGCGACGACGACGGAGGAGAGCCGCCACGGAGACACACCGTCGTCTTCGACGCGACGGTGACTCTCGGTCTCGTGAATACGCCGATGCCGATGCTCGTTCGCGGTGAGTGCCGCTGCTCTTCGGGGCCCTCGGACGGACTGCGCGTCCTTTGTATTCCGGAGAATTGTGCATCGAGTTCCGGTTCCTCAAGGAAGAGACAGAGAGAGAGAGAGAGAGAGAGCGATCGATGCTGGAAGCTGCATGGAGAAGCGCCGCGCGCGCGCGATCCCGTTTCCCTGGACTCTCGCTCAATGCGAGGCCGAGGGAATTAATATGTATACACGACGTCAGAGTCTCCCGTCTGCAGCGGACACGCAATGCTGATCGCGATAATGAGGTACCGCCGTAATCAAAATTTTTTCATCGATCATCAAGAACGACGACGCGCGCGCCGTCGGGAGAAGGTGCGCTTCCCTGCAGCTTTCCGCATTCTGTGATAGAAGAGCTTGCGGAAGAGGGAGACCGGAAGTGCCCGAGTGGAGTTTCCCAACGGTGAGGGAGCGTCGATAAAGCGTCGATGGAGGAGGAACACGACGAGGTTCCGCCGAAACGGCGGACGGCTCGCGACTACACACGCGCGCGGCTGAGTCGCCAACGGCGGACGACGACGCGTTTAGTCGGCGCGAAAAGGAGGAAGGAAAGACGTCGCGGGTCGGAGGGACGAAGAAAGAACGAGAAAAACGAGAAAAAAAGAAGGAAAGAAGAAGAAAAACGAAACGTGGCCAACGGCGCGTTTACGATGTCACGCAGGTTACATATGAGATTATTATCGGCTTAGAGAGACCTTCGTGCGAGCCGCGCTGCACTCGCGCGACACTGGTTAGCTTTCCATATCACGTTCGCCACTTTTGCGGCGCGCACGCCTATTTTCTACTTGCACACCTTCCTCCCCCGTCCCTGCCCTGCTCCTCTCATCCACCAACACCCGCTCGCTTTATCCACACAGCGCATCAGTTTCTTTCATTTTCCCCACATGTATCGCTCTCGACGATTTCGCGCGCGCGCGCGCGCGCTGTCTATCGCTCATCTCTCGTTTCGCGAGAAGCTTCGTGCGCCGTTCCGATCATCGTCATTAGTCTTCGCACAGCTGCGAAGCGAAGGCCGCGGGATCGTCGCGTTTTTACTCGCGCGCGTGCTCGCTCGACCGTCGCGCACTCGCGCGGAAACGCGCGCGCTGCCGGAGGTTGAGCCCATCGTCGCGGTTCACTTCGCCGGGAAACCATCTCCGCGCGTCATCCGTGAGCGCGCGGTCATCGTCGAGACTTCTCCTTCAATCAAGGTGCTACACGTGGGTCTGCTTCCCCGTGAGGAAACCGGTAAGGCCAGACCCCCGTGGTCTCTCGGACCCTGTTACATTTCCTTCGAATCCCGTCCCCTTGTCTGGTTCTTTCTCCCATGGACACGCGCACACATACACACACACACACATACACACACATGCACACAGGAAATGAGAAAGAGTGTCTGACGCAACAGACACGAGAACGCCCGTGCACACGGTCGACTGATTAAAGCTTGCAACGCTTTCTTTCGATGAGTTTTCCGATGCGTTCCGTATCCGACAAGAAAATGGATCTCTTGGGAGTTAATAAAAAGAAGAAAAAATGTGTCACAAGATTCATTCAGGGCAACAACCTACGTTGTTGCAACTTTTGACTGTATGCGTAGATTAGATGAGGGCTGAGCACGCGTTGCCGCATGCTACGTCAGACACGTTGTATACATAACAAACACATATATACACACACACACACACACACACACACAAACACACAGACATAAACGTACGAAAAATGCGCTTACGCGCCCACGACGCGCGCTCAGCGCCCGTTTGTGTGTACGCGACCGGTGCACTGTACATATTACTGGACTTAGAAGTCACGTGTACACTTTCCGTAGGTAAGTCTAATATTAGTGTAGGATATACGTGTTTGCTTATTAGTTTTCGATGAGCACGGCCGGATCTCTCTCATTGCATCCCGCGGTATCGCTGCGCAAACCGCCGCGACCAGCGCGCATCTCACACTGACGAACGCGGTGCTGGGGCACATCGAAGCGAGCGATCGTTTCGACGACTTCCGGACTCGAAGCCGTGTGCGGACATTCGCGTTTCTTTTCTACTTGTTCCACGCGTACCACACGACACGCATAGACCCGTCACGCGTAGACTACGACGACGACCGGACCGAGGCTACAGAGAGTGCGCCAGCCGCGAGAAATTCGCCTCCCGAAATTACAACTTGGAGCTTCGACGTATGCGCCTGCACTTTGATTCATTTCGAATGTTGAAAACGACCGTCGTTTAGTTCCCTGCGTCTGTATCTCGCCGACACCGCTTTTCGTTGATCGTCTCGATTTTTCACGCCGCCCGAGGGAGTTTTCTCACCGCGAGCCGACGAGAGAACGGGCGTTTCTAACTTCGGGATTCTCTTTGTATATAGATGACAACGTTATATTTTTATAAAAGCGACCTTGGCAGGAAAGACTCCGCCAAAACGCAATGGCACGTTTTTAATCCACCGTGAGTATCGCCTACTTGTATTTAACCGAGTCGACTAACCGCGGTAATAAAAAAAATAAATAAAAAAAAGGAGAAAAAAGAAGCGTCTCCGTGCGTGGACGAAACGTGTAAATGAATATTTTTCGAGTTTCGAGCACGCGCGAAAACAACGGGAAAATTCGATTTCGTCGCGCGCTTCACCGCTCATTTTACAAATGCATACGTCCTCGTTTGAACGATCGTCCATGTGAATAACGCAGGCCTCACATCGTAGTGAAATTAGCGTTCGTGTTAGCTCCGTCCGACTTTTCCTCGGAGATCGACATACATTTTGTAATCAACACACACACACACACACACACACACACACGCACGATACGTCTATCGGTGCTCGTAACAGCGCGGTTTGTCGAACGATCGACGTATCGAGAGAGCACCCAGCCAGCCCAGCCATAATCAGCATACATAAAGAAACCGTAGGCTATATAGAGAGTAGCAAGTGAGATCATGTGACGCGCCTTTCTGTACATGAATTTCTTCAGTTTCCCGACGCAGTTGCAGGTCGCATAGATTCGCTCTTGCCCTTGGGTTTGTACATAGACATTTGTATCGCGCTATACACACCTTTACGGTATCCTCGAATGTAGCACAGCGCGCGGAGATACGTCCGATCGAGCCTAGGTGCGTGCGTGCGTGCGTACGTGCGTGCGTACGCGCATGCGCGCGACTGTTATTAACTTCTGTACAGAGATCGTCGCGGACGGCGATTTACTTTTTGTACCTATAGGCTCAACCTAATCTACGCGACGAAAGCGAGGCAAGGAGATGATAACGACGAGCGGTAAAGTATTTGAGGAAAAACGCGAGAGACCGGAATAACGGAGAGGTATAAATATAGCCAGAAGTGTGTGTGCGTCGTGACGCCCTAGGAGAGACGTAAGAGTAACACAATAATGGGTAATCTAATCCTCGAATATGTACTTATTATGAGCTTCAACAAGTATTGAATAGTATTATAACGTAAGTCTAAGAATAGGCATACACGCGTCAAGGACAAACAATCGAGAGACTTGTAGACCGACCGACCGCGCCGGAACATCGCGCGGATCAGCGAGAGAACTCGCCGTCGCGAGAACCTCGCGAGGCGTTTTCAGCGGGGGACGAGTGCGCGGCGAGTCGTTCCTCGTTGATCCGCTCTGTCCCACTCGTATCTACAAATCATCCCGAAATTCCTCCAGCCATCGAACGACGTCCCTGATCGTACCAGATCGCAGACGCGTCTTGGATGTAGAGAAGGTGCATAGAGGAGCGGTCGAGAGAAGGAGAAAGAGAGAGAGAGAGAGAGAGAGAGAGAGAGAGAGAGAGAGAGAGAGAGAGAGAGAGAGAGAGAGTATGTGTGTGTGTGTGTGTGTGTATGCATGTGTGGCTAAGAACGACCATGAGCGTGTACACACCGTGTGCGTGTCGTATGCGTGTGTCTGTAAACGTGAGCGCGTGCGCGTGCAAGGTGTTGCGTGATGTCACGGATTGATACGTAAAGAATAGTAACCTACCTATCGTATATCTAAAGAAAGTTATAAGAGAGAGTAAAAGCAAACGTAATATTACGATAGAATAGTAAAGTACACGAACTTTGGCTAAGAGCGCCGTCGTGCAGTCCTCGACCACGTCATGTCAGACGCAAGTTGCGGTAAAACGCGACAGAGATCCGAACGCTGAAAGAGAGATCGAGAATGTGTGTGTGTGTGTGTGTGTGTGTGTTTGCGTGTGCGTGCGCGTGTGCGTGTGTGAGCGCGATGCGAATGCACGAGGGCGCACTTCGGGTGGAGTAGGCGTGATCACGGAAAGCAATCTAAGTTGAACCTAAAGTTGTTAGATATATTATTTGTAAGATTACTGTATGTTGCGTGAATGCGATTGATGCGGCGGGATATCGCGAGCGGATCAATCGATCGGCGATATATATAGAAGAGGGAGCCAATTTGCCTGCCTGCCTGCTGCCTGCCCGCTCGCTCGCTCGCTCGCTCGTCGAGACGAGCCGGTGGTAACGGCATCTCTGCTTCGAGGAACAATACTTTCGGGCAGCACGAGAGAGTGCGCGCCTACGAAATCTCAGTCGATTATCCCGCAACGTCGACCGCGAAGGCGAGATAGACTATAGCTCGGTTTAATGTATGCGATACGGAAGCGACTTGGGGTAACGCACCATGGTGATTATTCGTGTAAGGGAACGCAAACGCGAAGAGGAGGAGGAGGAGGAACACTCTAACTGAATAATTAGTTACGACGACATACTACTACGATACGAAGAGCGAGAGAGGAGATAGCCGATAACGACTTATTAAAATATATCACTAGGACTAGCCGACGACTGTCTTAGGTTTCGAGTGTCGGGGCGAGTAGACTCTCGTTTCTCTCGGGGTTGGGAGGGAGGGAGGGAGGGAGACAGAACGGGGAGGAGGGATTTGCTACACGTGGCGCCGTGTATTCTTTACTTTTCTCTTATCCCCCGGAAGAGATTACGGACGCACGGAAGAGCGGGTGCGATCCGTTGACCGATTTTCTTTTAATTTCGCCCGTCTTCCTTTCCGCTCTCTCATGTCTCCGCGGCGCCGTTTTTCTCCCGCGACGCTTTCCTTTCGTTTTTCTTTCCGCCTCTCTTTTTACGATATATCCCACCTTAAAGCGAAAAATTGGAGCGAGCTCACGCTCGCGCGCGCGCGAGATTAATAGTCCATTCGTACCGTGCAAAGCTCATCCTTCATCATCGCCGTATTCTCTCCTTCGTCTTCTTTTCGATTATTCGCTTCTTCTCCTTCTTGTTTCTCTTTGCTTGCTTTCTTTGCATTCTGCTAGTTCCTACCGACGGCGGAGTACGATCAAGGGTGGAAATTAGGGCCGGGCGCGCGGTAGCGCGTCGTGAGTCGTTTGAAGCTCGAAGGAGCCGATATACCGCTTACGGGAATTCAATTTAGCCGCACGGTAAGGGACGGATCCGCATCGCTCGAGGTAACACCGCCGTAGGGCGTGCATCGGCGCATCGGCAGTTTTGTTTATGGAACGTACTCGTGAATATCGATCTTCCTCTCGGAGCGCTCCTCCGCTGAACGTCCTGTTTGTTCGCACCGGGCGATATGTTTATCGATCAAATTAATTCGGTCACACACACACACACACACACACACACACGCACATACACACGTATACACGCGTCACCCTGGTCCGCATATGGCCGAAACAAAATTACAACTCTTTCCGGACTTGTCGCGGGCGTGTACGCGCAATTACTCGAGATTACCCGCGAGGAAGAAAGAGAGATACGTGAGGGAAGAGAGACGTTGCTTCTTTTATTTATATTTTCATTTTCATCGCGATTCCCCCCTTCTTTCAACATCACCGTACGCAGGATCGTTTCGCGAGAAACTGTGCGATCGGCTTATTGGCGCGACTTCAATCCACGCTCCGTTGCGTACAAATCACACACGATCGATCGATTCACAGTACGCGCCGCCTAAAAATTCAGACTTACCGACACGTACGTGCGATTATCATCGTTAACGACACGATCGTAGATAACTTTTAGTTCAAAGAATTTCGTACGATAAGAGACCCTCTTAGATATCCACCTATTACCTAAACTTAAACATCCAATCGCTATTTTTATCAAAAAAAAAAACATGTTAAAAATCTTTAATAGTTATCCATTGTTCACTATTGCTATAATAAAGTTTTGCTTTAATAAATGATCGATTCGTACGTCATTGATTTCGCGTAACCTTACGTCATCCACGATCCCAAGTCGAGCCGCGAGACTCCATCGTCAGAGTGCCAGCGAGTTCGCCAGAGACGAGAGGAGAGAGAGAGAGAAGCCTGTCGGAAACAATACAATACTTGCAGGCCTTAGAGCAGTCTTGGCGCAGCCTCGGCAGGACGAAAACGAGGACTCCGGAGGAAGCCGTCTACTGCCCCAGAGGTAAGCTCGACTCTCTGTCGCGGGATTTCCAGCGACGGCGGCGTCGCCGCCCGAGCCCGAAGACAGCTCGCGAAGCATCGATTTCGGCTGTTTTCCGGCTCGCCGGCGGGGCGCTCCTCCTCGTCGGCCCGGACAGAGGGGAATTAAATTCGCGGCCTGTGGCGCGCGAAAACGCAATCAGCGAACCACGAGAAAAAGGATTGAACTTGGCCCGGAGCGTTATCGCTCGGCCGAGCCTCGGAGCCGCGCGCTCCGTTCGAGCATCGCTCGATCGATAGAGCAACCTTAATGCCGGCGTATCCTCTCCGTTTGAATAATTACGTGCGATTACGGCGGACTCGGCGCGGTTATGTGCAGCCGCGCGGGCGAATGAGCGACAGACTATAGACCCCCTCGGAGCGTGCGCGAACGTCATCGGTGCCCGACTTCGGACTCGGACGTTTGCGTCATGCTCCGTCTTGCGAGCCGGGGGCTTGGGGAGGGTGCATGATATATCGTGACGTCACCGGAACGCCGTGTGTGTCGTGTGTGTATGGACATTATTCTCTCTCTTTCTCTCCCTCTCTCTCTCTCTCTCTCTCTCTCTCTCTCTCTCTCTGTCGCACGGTCAGATGTAAAGCTCTCTTCGGAAGTCTGTGACGTGGGCGGCCGATTGGTCTCGGTACTTCAAAGCGCGTGTTGCAATGTTAGCGCACTTTGCGCGGTCGGCTGCTGTCAGAAAGGTCGTGGGAGAAGGCACACTCGATGCTCCTCGGAACGGGGTTGGATGTATAAAGCCGGCCTGACACCGGCACGTTTCTCTCTCTCTCTCTCTCTCTCTCTCTCTCTCTCTCTCTCTCTCTTTCTGTGCCCGCTAATATTTAACGAGCATTTGTGGCCGACTGTGAGCGTAGTGGACGTGCGATGTCGTCAGAGCTGGGCGTCATTATTTCACACGCACCCTCCCTCCTGTGGATGTGGGTATATCGAGTTGCGTACGAGAAAGGGAAAGAGAGACTCTTCACCTTTCGCCGCGATCGAAGTCAAGCGGCGTTCGTCGGTGCACGGAAGTTCTGTTCCGTCGTTATCACTGAAACGAGAGAAGAAAGAAGTCGCGAGTACAAAAGTCAGACCGCGCGCTCCTAGCGCGTCGCGGAGAGATTTCCAAACGCCGAAAACGGCAAGGTTAAACCTGAATCCCTTCGGAATTCATCAATCGAAAAGTCTAATCCGATGAGGCAATATATCGTCACGCCTGGCCGAAACTCGCGCGGTTCAGTTCAGTCTCGCGCGATCGTATTTAATCGGCGCACAGTGGGACAAATAACAATTCTAGCGTGACAAAATTCAAATGAATAGATTTTTTTTATCAAAAGTAACTTATCCTATATTTTTTGGGCTGCTGATTCCGAATTTGAGTGTATTTTTTTATTTGCGCCCTTTTAAAGGCAATAATTCGGAAAAAGAGACCTAAAGATTTGCATAAATTAATCTTTTTCTTTTGGGGTTTTCAAATAATAATGACTTAATATTATTGTAAAATGGCAAATGATAGATAATAATATGATGATTGTAGTAACGCGTAATACAGCGCTCGCTCGCTAACATAATTGTACTTACTCGTACAAAACTTTGCAAGATATCGCAAGTTATCGCAGATTTCATCTACTCAGAATAATATGAAAATGTCTAAAGAATGATGATACGAAAGCCGTTTTTCGGCAAAATCCGGCAAACTTTTTGTACAGCCCGAAATATGTCCAAATTTAGAATAAAATTAACGATAAAATCAAGAACTTATGACGACAAGTAGAAACAATTGAAAAGAAGATTGTTATTACGTACGTAATTGCACAAAAGAAATCACATTTATATGCACATTTACTAACCGTTTTTTGCATTTGAATATATACGTACACGCTCCTTCATACCAACGCGTAGGTATTCAGGCAAGAAGAGCGTAGTCATTGTCGCACTTCACAGCACTCGCGACAGGCGACTTCCAACTGTTATCTTGATCGAAGAAAGGTTATAGCAAGAGATTTCCAACATTCATTTTGTATTTCGCGAGTATCAATTTTTTTGATTTTGTCGCGCCAGAATAGTCATCCGTCCCATTGTGCGGCGCGAGCACATTGATCTCGATTTCGTCAGCCGCGTGAAACGTTGATAAAAGACACATATCACGGCGATTCGGGAGGTGCCGAGCTCAACTGTCGCTCGACGGTGTCCCCCGTAAGTAGTCGGAATCAACGGCGCTTCGTTGTCGACGATAACGCGCGATATCTGAGCGCGCCGCAAAGTGCGCAACGCAATTGACATCAAAGCGCAACGCGCTTTGCGCCATCTTGATTGTTTTGCCGGCTCTGCGCTCTGAGCGGGGGCGTCCTTTGCGAATATTTCAGTTATCTACGAGCCGTATAAAATGCGCACGATAAAATCGGCGGAACGGCCCAACTTTTAATGGAATTGCCCGATCCGCTTTAATTAACTATTATGAACTGTTCGAGCGTTGAATTGCTGCGGCCACGAGCCGCGGCGAGTGTTTATTCTTTTGTGAATCGCCAGCGCGCGCGCGCGCGCGCGCACGCACGCACGCACGCACGCACGCTGCGTGCGTCCTCGTTCACGTGCGTGGCACGTGTGCGCGTGCCGCTTTATATTTGTTTCATATTTGTGCCGCGCGCGAGAATACGAGAGTACCGAGTTCATCCGCAAAGCTGCGCGCCCCGTTTAATTCACTTTGCCTGCTCCGAGGCGCGCACACACGCGCGACGGACATAAAAGTCGGTGTTGTTTTGCTAGGAATATCATTAGTACACTTCTGATTGGAGCATTAATTGCGCGCATTTAGCAAATGGGTTAAAGTATTTGGCAATACGGCTAAGTGTAATTTATTAATTCCTGGTTATTACATTTTCGACGCTTGTGTGCAATAATGTATTTACGCACGCGGGATTAATTAATACTGCTGATATTATTTACGCGTCATCGCGCGCGCTACGGCAGTGACACGCTTTCGGTCGCGACTGGGAACGGATGAGAGAGTGCGATCGTTTCCGCATCGTCGCCGACAAAATCTAACCTGCGAGTGCAAGAGTGTCTCTTCTTCGCGTTCCCGTTGCATACTCGTGACGTGAAATCAAATTTGTCGGAACGATGTCAAGAACAAAAGCGCGCTCTTAGCTCCGAATAACGAAGCGATAAAAATGTTTCCCGGCCGAATCGTCGTTAAAAGTAAGCAAAGAAAGTGTATCAAGTCGACATCGACGATATACGGCAATCAATAATGTAATCCAACCTAACGCCAGTCCCTTTGTTTCCTCAAATTGTCAGTGAATATCGATCAGTCGGTCCGTATTTCCACAGTGTGACTGATATATAAATAAAAAATAATCACCGAAAGATTTAGCGTTTTTCATTTTAAACGTCGTTTATTTCGTACTTCGCGTTGCCGAATTCATAATTTCCCGATATTTCCTGATTTTCCGAGACTGATATTTCCGATCCCTTCCTTCTACTCCCATCGCACGTTCGACAATAAAACGATCCAATTGTTACTATACTCGTGCGTGTATATTTTACTACTTTTATCCGTATTGACTTGATTGCAAAATTAGATACAGACGTAGGATATTCATCAAACTAATACGATTGAAAGTTACTATCGATGAGTCCGCAGAGTAATATATACACTGCTCAAAAGAATTATGGCATAGATAATTTATTGTCGAAAATTGGCCAACTTTGATTGGCAATTACTTCGCGAAAAATTATTGTAGACTAGTGATATTCTTTTCGAAATGAAGCTTGAAGTTTCTACTTTAAGAATGTATCCCCATTTTTTGCACGCGATGCACCCCCCCTACTCCTGTAACCCCTGACATCTGAGGGCATGTTTGGTATAGTGAAAATTGCAAAGTTTGACGAAATGCACGGACGTGGACAATTTTTTTTTCGGGGATGCCGTTTGCATCGTCATAAAGTTCAAATCTTCCCCTTTAATTTGAAAAAGAAAATGGAGTCGCTACAATTTTTTTCGCGAAGTTAGAGAAAAAGCAGTGACAGCAAGAAAAATTCTAGAGCAAGAAACAGAAATCATCACGGAGCCGTGGAGAATACGGAGAGAGTTTGTTTGCCGGTGCTAGGAATGTTGGCTGTGGTCAAAACACGATCCAGGGGCTGAAAAACATGCGCGCATGCTTGCGTGCGTATGTCGACAAACACTTTTGCCGTTGCTCCACTATGATTTCCAGTCATTTAATCCGCCGGCCGGTACTTGGCCTGAAGGCCAAAAACAACGATATTTTTGAAGAGCTGTAACTTTGCGAAAAAAAATTGTAGCGACTCCATTTTCTTCTTCAAATTCAAGGGGAAGATTTGAACTTTATGGCGATGCAAACGGCGCCCCCGAAAAAAATTGTCCACGTCCGTGCATTCCGTCAAACTTTGCAATTTTCAGTTTACCAAATATGCACTCAGATGTCAGAGATTACAGGGGGATGGTAGGGGTGCATCGCATACAAACAATAGAGATACATTCTTAAAGTAGAGACTTCAAGCTTCGTTTTGAAAAAAAATCATTAGTCCACAATAATTTTTTGCGAAGTAATCGCCAGTCAAAGTTGGCCAATTTTCAGCAATAAATTATCTATGCCATAATTCTTTTGAGCAGTATAGATTTATATAGGTAGACTATGTTTTCTTGTAAAAAGTTTGAAGACAAATGCAAAGTCGTATAATATACTGCTTCCATTGTCCGCAGACGCGCTACTTTCGTTTAGCCCGTATGTT